ATGATGGCTTATATCAGGAAAGCACCAAAGTACTCAGATCAGGGACCCCTGTAGTTCTTTTCCTTCAAAATGAAAATGTGCTGGTATGCCATTTTAAAGTATACCATTTTCAAGTACATTTAATGTAATAGGTAATTTGGCTTTCATTTTTTTCTGTTTCTCAGCTCATGTAATGCTTTGGTTTCAAATGTACAAGCTTTGTTTTTTTTACCTGATATTCCTCACATTCTTACCCTTTTACCTTTATTCCCAGTGACTGCACAGTGAAGCTCTGGAGTGCCAGGAAGCTACTGAACAGCACAACCTAGAAGTTGAGAAAAAACAGCTATGGCCTTAAGAAGACTAAGATGGAGCTTGGCTAGGAAGTAGTAGTTAATCTCTCACACCCAGGGCTTCAGGATGAGAAGGCTGCCTGGTTTTCTGACAAGTACATGGGTTGGAGAAGGCAAAAGAAGTCTTTTCCTTTACATGTTCAAGTCTCCTTGCTTGTCAGGTGTCTATGATGGCAGTCATTGTAAAAGAGAGCCAAAAAAGAAGACAAAATTTGGTGCTAAGGTTCTTTCAGTCAGAATTCACCTGACAAGTCTACAAATCGAAATGTGATTTTTCATCCTACTATAATTAAACATGGTTTTCCCATGGTTTCCAGCTCTCCAGGAACTGCCTATATCCTGCTTATGCCCATAAGACGTAACGGTGAAAATAATTAGAGAGAAAAATCAAGGGTTGCCAATTCCTTCCTGGATAGTTGATTGCTATGTTTTAGGGGGTAATTTCTTGTTCTAGTTGGTCTTTCAGGAGGATTTATTGAAGTACTGACTTTTATTTCTTACTTTTATCTGTGAATTGCTATTTGTTTTCTTTTTGAAAGGGAGAAGGATTGGAGGAGACTGCAAGAAAATGAGCCACTTTCATTTGAGCACATAATGTAGTGCTTCTCAGTGGTCACTATAGATTAAGAATTGCTCAGACGTTTTCTATTTCATTTGCCAAATACTCTTGAAGTTGATTTTCCCAGATTTCTGGAATGACAGTATTAAAAGGAAAAAGACAGCTAACAATTGTATTAAACAGAGTGATATATTTAGTAGCTGACTTGATGAACTTGGATAACGTCAGAAGAGTTGTTGTTTCCTGAATACCAGTTATAAAGCTGGATGCTTTTTTCTAAATGTTAGATAAGCAACAAGAAAGAGAGACCTAGACTGATTAAATACATTTAGGATTCTCCTTCATGCCATCATTCAGCAATTCCGGCAAAGAAGTAGCCTAGACATGCCACCTCCTCTTCCCATTCTCAGCTTGCAGAGCTTTTTATTGTGTTTTGGTAAAATGGCAGTGACTGCAGAAATCAACGGACCCCTATCACAGGAAAAAGGACATTTTTGTCCCCTCCTTTGTCTGGGAACAGAAAAAAATGTGGAACCTTCCCTTCCAGCTTTCAAACAGGGTAAGGAAGATTTGAATTGCCAAGCACAAGGGTATTGCAGTGCGTTCCTGTATTACTGGGGAGATAATGAGCCTGCCCCGCTTAATCTCACCCCCAGCATCTTTTTTTGTTTACATCTTTTTCAAACATTCACATTTCCACGTCACAATAAGGAGCAAATGGATAAAAGTCGATGCTCTGTGTTTAGAAACTTGAATTTTTCACAAAATATTGTTCACTGCACTTGATGTTTAGCAGCAAACATTGGCTTAAGCCCTTGAAGATCTACCACTCTGTGGGAGAAGCCTCCGTCTGTGTGCAATATAGCAGGGCTGTCGAAGCCTTACTGGAGGATTGATCAAGCACTCTTCACATTGTTATAGATTCATCCTTAAACTTCTAATTTGCATTGTACTCTTCCATCAGAGGATCCAAGGATTTAAACTGATTGCTCAGCAGCAGACTTGGGAAAGCCATTCGCTAATAGGGAAATATGGACCAGCAGGTTGAAGCAATTTGCTTTCTGAATGCTTTGGACCATTCTACAGCTCTGCTTTTAGTTTGTAGGAGTCTTTGCTCTACTGCCCTGGATTAGGTTGGAATTCTGTCCGTTCATTTGTGTTATGAAAATTCCTTTCTCTACACTTAAGCTGCTGATTCTTCCAGCCAAGTGGAAAGTTGTATTGTAGTTCTAAATAGGTGTTCAAATGATTCTATGTTTTGTCTTGTGCAATTGGGGGTGAGGGGGGGGCAGCAGGTGTGTGACTGAGATTTTAAGAGGGTGAGAGCTTGTTTTGAGTTAACCTACCTCATGGTCCAAGGTGTTTTCTCATTTTGTTTTTTTTTTGTTTTTTTGTTAATAAAACTTGAATTGGTCTGGGAAACGCACAGTATCGCTGGTCCCAATTTCTGAGCTTAAGAGGAAAGCAGGAGGAAAGAAGCTGGCCTCTGTGTAATCTCAGAGGGAGCATTTACATATTAAGACTGTACTGTGTTTACTGCATCTTGGTGTCTTTTGCAGTCTTATCTTAACTCAGCACTCTAAACTGAGTGGGGAGGTGGGCCATATGATTCCAGGATTGGAAGAGAACAATCTTCCACAAAATCAGCACAATCTTTACTTCTGCACATGGAACCCAAATTATGTTTTTTTGCTATTTAGGGAAGTTTGTGTCCCCTTTGAATTTTTTGGCCTACACAAATCTATGAATAGATTGTGAATTAACTCAGCGTTTTCCATTGACTTACATAATTTATTCAGAACAAAGAATATGAAGCATCCAAAAGATGATACTAATATGTCTAAATCTATCTGCCAGGGGATACTTTTTATAGGTTAAAAAGGATTGTGTGACTTGTGGTCCTCCAGAAGTTGTACTTCATCTTCCATCTTTCCTCACTCAGCCAGCTCAGATTCAAGGAAAGCTGGTGGAAGCCACACATTCCTTCTTAAATTACTGCCCGTATTTGCCATAGAGTCCTGGATGGCTCTTGCTTTCTTGTCCTTTAGCACAGAGTTAGTCTCCATTTTCTGGGAGGGGAGGGTGAACTTTGCCTCTTTTAATACTTCTGATCTCATGGATGTAGCAGAAGTGGAATTGAGCTGATTTCTTGGGTTTAGTATGTATAGTTTACCCTATTGTTGATTGTACTTGAAGCACATAATTAAGAGGATACAAAGCAACCAACAATGGACATTTCATCTCATAATTTTCAAGAGCTGAACAACAGATTACTGTAATAAGACTAATAATGATTTTACATCATCTGCAAGGATGTTTTAGAACATGTTATGCTGTCCCTAAGGCTAAACTCTCAGTTTAAGACACCTGCTCATTGTGTACTAATGTACACCAGCCACTTCAGTCTACGGTTGGGACAGTTGTTTTAGTTGCAGTCCCAGCACACCTGGATGTGGCCAGGTTGAAATTTTGTTTCAAACAACAGGTGCCTTTCCTTATCCTGAAAGGTCAGGGTTTTTACCCATAGAAAACACTGGTGCTTGTCTGGGGCTTCTGTGAGGACTGTGTCATCTGGCAAAAATGATATTGTGTGAGTGTGTGTGTGTGTGTTCGTGTGTGTGTGCGCGCGCGTGTGCATGTAAAGATACAGTGTATGTAATATTTTATACCTCTGTGTAAATAATGTAAGTTATTTAATGTTTCCGATGTACATGGTTTTCCAATGAATGTTTTTGTTCCTCCTGGTAATAAATTTATTCAACTGAAATCTCAAGTCTGGTTTTTACATTAACAGGCTAATGCAAAAACTTTTTAAAAATATGAAATCAGAAGCTTGTGGGTTTGAGAAGTTGGATCCCTAAGCTATTACAGAACAAATGTAAGGATTAAAAATAGCTAGGAAATTGGAAATGGCCCTGAACAGACATGGAGAACTTCAGTCTCACAGGCCTAATCTGATAAAATAGCTCGTAGTTCTTCAGTATCCCTTACCATTCATTCTTTGCCCTGAAAGATAAACGTTTTCTGCATAGTGAATGGTCTTGAAGGGACAGAAGTTAACTTAAAAAAGACATTTCTCTTTCCCAAACTCTTATCACCTGATAACATCTATGTGTTCAAGCAAAATTACTCCCTCCCCCAATTTTCAAATGAGAATACAACAAAGTAAGAGACAAAGTCTATACCAGTGGTGGCGAACCTATGGCACGCGTGCCAGAGGCAGCACTCCCAGCCTCGCCTCTCCCACAACCCCCTCCTCACCAGCAGCCCCCCTGGAGGAGATTCGCCCCCAACCGTGGCCCACACGGAGAGCACAGCCAAGGACATGGCAGCCAGGCTGCGTAGCCAAGACTCTGCCCTCATGCCCCATCCTGCACAGTTGATGCAGGCAGAGGGCGTGGCCGCCATGGTGCTGCTGGGCTGCCTGGGTGATCTGCGGTGGACCCTGGAGGCGGTGAGTGGCCCTGCAGGCAGGTGGGGTGGGGGACGGGGTGGAGGAGGGGCAGGGGCTGGAGCGGGGGCAGGGCCAGTTTTTGGGCACTCGGTCTCTAAAAGGTTCGCCATCACTGGTCTATACTTATTCTAGGGTAGCAGACTTATAAATTATCCTACTTTTTAATGCTTTCTAGACTACTAAAGTATTCCTTAAGTGGACAAAACGAGAAGGGTGAAAAGCGAGATGAATGATACAAAAAAGTTTCTAGTGATTAGGAATGAAGCAGCCCCAAGACGCTCAAAACCATTGTTGTTATACAAATTGCCTTTTGTAAATCATTTAATCAGTGTTCACAAGGACTTCTTTGCAGAGATCTGGGCAATAAAGGTTCTATGCTGGGCTGAATCAAACTCAATGCAATTTTTAATATAAAGTTGAAATGAAGATGATCTTTTCCATAGGTATTTGTTTTCACTTTGTGAAAAAAAAACCTTGAAAACTGGAGAGGACAAGTTTGAATTCTTACATACTGTATCAGAGTAATTGGGGGAAGAAAAATCATGTCATTTGAAGATGTTGAATCCTAATATATAAAATTACAATTACTAACAAAAGGCTGTCTTTTGGTAATCTTTCCCCTTCATATCTGAAGGACAACAAAGTCATCAGAACATTGCCAATATTTTTTTTAATAATGTAAATATATAGAACATTTCCTTAGCTTGATTTCTACTTTTAATGAAGTCAAAAGGCATAGAACACTAACAGGAAAATAGTGGACAGTACTAATAATTTACCAAAACTTAGAAATATAGTATATACCCTTGAGCAGGACTGAATTTTAACTTGAGAACTCTCAGGTTAAATGCAAGAGTGATATAAAAATTAAGACATATCTTCACCCTGTAGGCTATGGTTTGCGGTAAGGATATATAGAAAATACTGCAGGGAAAAATGTTTTGGTTGGGATCCATGATAAACCAAAAAAGTTTTGGATCGGTTGTGGCTTGGTAGAAACAAAACCCACAACATTTCCATTGCCTAAGGTTTTTGCTAAAACAGCATTCAGAGGGATTGTGGAGTAATTGTTATACAGTGGTATACTTTGCCCTCTTCTCCGACCTTTAGTCAGCTACCATCACAAAGTTCCAGTGTGGCACTGGGCCACACTGCTTCTGATCTTTTCAGTGCCTTCTCTGTCCTACATTGTCACTGCCACCACAAAAGTTTGCATACGCCTTCAAACTTGGCTTTTCCCTACTCCTCCCCTCCCTGACCCACCTCTACCCAGAGGAACTATGTTTTAGTCCATCTTTGGAATAAAACAGCCCAACAAGTATTTCCATTTGGGTACAGATCATCCCAGATTCCACATATACGTTGCTCAATTCTAAGGTCTGAGTATGTGTTTGTGTAAACCATCTTGTTTCTTGCCAAAGAGATCAGTGAATAGTGACTTGTTTTCTTACAGTTGACAGACAAGTCATCAATCTCTTCTGCTATAAAATTAAAGCTGGTTGTCTGGCTCAATGCTAGATGATTATCAACTATGTGACATGCAATTTGTTCTATGTAGGCAACCCTCTGCTGCCATAATTTAATGAGGATTGCATACAAAAGTTGAGCAATATGTTATATAGTTCATCCATCAAAATGGGCCTCTTTTTAATACAAAATTCCATTAAAACTGAAAACAAGGATTCATAAACAGGTCCACAGAGATAGCAAGATTTGTGAATTCCATTAGTCTAAAAAAAAAAGCAGAATAACAGAATGGAGTATGAAGTACACTAAGGCAGACCATTGGCTGCATCAGGTAGCTTTCTTTAGGAACAAAGAAGGCAAATCTAGTAATTGGGAAGGAACTTGTGTAGGTACACATACATTCTACTTCCACCAGAAAGTAAGTTGTAGTCAGAAATAGCTCTGACTACAAAAATCCTACACCAATTTCATTTCCATAATCTATAGAGACTCTGTTTCCAGCACAGACCTAGGAGAGAATAAATAGGCAGACAAACCCTAGTTACTCTGATCTATATTTCATATAATACAAGAAACATAACTTCTGTTGTCACCAGTACACTGTATCAACATCATAGGAACATGATCTCACGTAGCTTGCAGAACAAGTCCCAAAGTTTCTCTTCTAAATAGAAGGAGTACAAGATGCAAGAACATGTCAAGACTTGAATTAAGGCCTCTTCTTCCCCTCCCAGACAAGGGCCTAAGAGGTAATCATCCTGCTCATGCTGCCAGGGTCTAGCAGCATCTAAACCTGAGTAATGATTTCTCCATTTTCTGGGACGTAGACCTGCACAGGGGCTCCTTCAGGAGAGCGTTTGAGGATATGGACACGAGGTACCTGAAAATTCAAAAGAAAACCTTTAATAAAAGTGTTATTTTAGCAAGGCTTCCCATTACCTATTTACTACCATTATAATTCATCTATTTTATTTTAATTTAGCGTATGGCATCTACAGAGATCATGCAATCACTGCTAATACAAATTTAGTTTAAATAAAGCATCAATGTGTGTATGTGTGTATTTGTAAGCATCAATGTGTGTATGTGAACACACACACTACAATATAGGAGATAAAATATTAAATTAAGATAAAACCATAATAAAATCACTATAATGTGGAGCCATAGAAATGCAATGGGATAGATGTTATAATTCAATATCTAGACTAGGGGAACTAACCATTTAACTGCCTCTTAAGAAACTAATCTGTTAAGAGAGAGGGAAAAAGTATGTGACAAATAGATATGATTACATTACCTTCTGCCTTAACCTGTGTGCCCAGCATGTTAACATCAGGACTGATTTAGAGAAGATGGCACAACAGGTGGATCATTCCTATGTACCCCCCTCTAAAATCAGTAGCACCTCTTAGGAGAAAATTCAGGAAGGTGGCAATAAGTGGCAACTCTAGCTGGCTGCATGGGGGCTGACAGATTACTAATTTATGTTTTAGAATTTCCCATTCTACTTGCAGTGCTGTACATTAAAAAAACTATGGATATGAGAGCTCAGGAAACAGCAAGAATAGCGAATGTCTCTGCTAGTTTGTTAATACCTGAAATAGTTCACAACTGAAGTGAAACCCAACAGGTTTCTATTCATTGACGGTCCAGAAGGTCAGCTACATTAGCCTGTTGTGGCAATTGCAAGAGGCACCAGGAGAATCTTAACGACTAGCATATGTAATATGGAATCAGTTTATAGACTAAAGTCCATTTAATGTGATGCCCAGACGGGGGAAGCAATGTTTCTCAGGCTGATAAACATGAAGCAGATTTCATGCAGTTGAACGTAGAATAAATTTGTATCTAGAATTCTTAACTTCGAAGCTCACAAACCGGCCCATCTAGTTAAGTACATGATTTTAACAATGGACTTTCAGCACTGGTGATAAGAGCATTGTTTAAGGGTTACTCTGCCGTGACATCGCTGCATGGGTTCAGTGTTCTACTTAAAACAGATTAGAAAAAAATATATGCAGTGAGCTGTTCAAGAACCTGCCTTTCTAGCTCATGCAACCACTTCCTAGATAACAATTTTGCAGCTCTGTTTCAAAGGAGTGGAAGGTAAGCATTAGGGATTATGAGAGGAGGAAACCAAGGGCAAGCTCATGCTTGCATGGTGTGGGCCTGCGCTCCAGGCAAGGGAGATGTCCAAGGAGATGAAAGTTTTACTCCTGATGAAACATTCACACATCTGGAGGGGGGGGGGAATCTAGAGCAAACAAACAAAAAAATATCCATGCCACACAGATTTCTTTCAATGGCTACTTTTCTGAACGTAGGTGGCAGAAGCATTCCCAGAATCCTCTGCCCTGACAAAGGTAAAAGAAAAATACTCCCTCAAGTCCAACTTGGCAACTGTTGACTACATGAGAATGGCCAGAAATTGGGATCATTCTTGTCAATCACACAAAATTTGCCACTGCCTTCTTTCAAGACTTTTTCAACTTTCCAGTCTAGCTTGCAGCTTTGGAATTATTATTTTTTTGATGATCTGGAACCCGACTAATAACCAGGTCTGATTTTGTGTAGCCATTTGAGATCAACCAAATTCAGCTAAGCTGGCAAGGCCTTTGCTTTACAACTCAAAAGCAATTGACCAGCTTTTTCCATCAGATGCCCTCCAAAAAAATTAGTATGGAATTGTGGAAGACCAAGGACACTAGGTTCAGAAAAGCTGCTCAAAACAACCGAGCTTGGGTGCAGTTTAACCATTTCCCAGCAAACAGCCAGTCTCAAATAAAACTGAACAACAGATGCAATTTATCAAATCAGGGATGAGTTCAGTAGAAGTACAGTGGGCAAAGTTTAGTGATTATCATCTGATCATTTCACTCTTTGCCATAGGGCAGGCTTAAGCAATTCCTATTGACATTTATGACCCATAAGTGTCCTGAACATCAACTCCTCTTACTATATATCTGTATATATCTGTTACTTGGAAAAGGACATTTTAAAATATTGTTTTAGGAAAGGTGGTATCACAAGCACAATATTGATAGAAAAGAATATTTGTAGCTCATGGTTGAACTGAGTGGTCCTTGAGCTTGGTTGTTGTCTTGCAGACATTTCATTAATAAACTAAGTAACATCATCTGTGCTGATGGTATTATCTAGTTTGCTAATGAAACGTCTGCAAGTAAACAACCAAGCTCAGAGAGCACCAACAACTCCGAAGCACAATATTAGAAGGCACAGTTCTAATATTAAAGAACTGGCTGTTCTCTCAGGCCCTGGGCTAAGGTGGATGAAGCTCTTTGTGGTGTGCTTGTATATGTTTTTGAGTTGTTGGCAGAATTCACTCTTTTCTTTTTTACCTACCTTGTTTTTTTTTAATTTGACTTTTTTTAATCTATTTTTTTTAAAACAAACAAACAAACTGCTACATAGTGAGTTGCCCGGAGTCATTCTAGTGTCAGGCAGCACATAAATCAAATAAATAAGGAAATGTTAAAATAACCAGAAAATCATGAATGGCGGGAAAAACAGAAATTGGAAAGAAGTAGATAGAAATATATGCAATTCTTAATTTTTAACAGATTTTATAAATATCAAGCTCTCATATCATAAAGCCTGTTCTACATAAATAAGTTAGCTTGCTTATAAAAAATATGCTTTGTTATGCAGTTAAAAAGTATGGTTTAGCCAAAAAAAAGTTACTATATGTGTATTAATTGAATTTTGACCCTTGATTTGGGTTATTTTATAAATTTCATGATCTTTTGAAAATAAGAAAGCTAGCCCACACTGAGACAAATTTTCTTACTGTTTCACGTGTTTGTTTACTCTTTGAGTTGACACATTTCCAAGCATATCTAAATTTCTTTCACCTCTTAATGAATTAACATATCATTTAAAACAAAAATAATTGGAAAGTTACATAAGCTCTTTTTCTCCTGTCTCCCAAATTTGGAGAGGCAGGAGGAAAAAGTTTGCAAAAAGAATAAAAAGCATTTTTTTTTCTTGATAATTTCTTGATCTTTATATTTATATCCAAAAGGAACATGCATTGGTGGTAGACAACATCATGGGTTGTTCTCCATTTTTGTTGGCATCCATCAAATTCAATTAGAAAGCACTCCTCCACCATTTTTTCCATTTACTTAAGTTTAGTTGCTTTGTCTTGTGTGTCCAGATGGTGTAAGCCAGGAGTGGAGTTGGCCCACTCCTAACATGGGTTTTTAGGAGTTCAACAACACTGGCTAACATAACCCATTACTTTGTTCACCATCCTTACTGTAGGAAAGCTGCCAGCTTAGGGCAAGGTGGAGAGAATTAAGAAGATGCTGGTTCCCCTTTTAGATGCTGGTTCCCCTCTCCCTTGAGCTGCTATACAGTCTTACCTGAATTTGATGCCCAAAGGAACACGGAGAATGCAGTTCTCTGCCTGGCATACTGCGCACACGGAAAGCCCCTTGCCTATCCAGGGAATGTGGACGTGCATTGCGCAGACGGGTCCGTTCGTGCCAGGATTTTAACTCTTCTGTCACTGCCGCCTTGGAGAGAACTCGAGGACCCACTGGGACAAAGTCCTTCAGGGATGGTGTGCGAACTACCCTGCTGTGGGCTACAACTGACCTGTGGAATCTAACTGGCACCGCTTCTTCCTTGTAGGCAAAGTGGGCTGAACTGCCAGAGAGAAAAGATGGCCGACCATGGCAGAGCTCTCTCCCAGCAGTCAGGTGGCTACTGGGCACGTGTTCTGTGGCAGGAAAAAAAACTGGCCCTGAACGCAGGTTCTGAGGACACAGGCGGTGGTATTCTGCTTCTTGTCCCTTGCAGACCTGGTTATGGAACAGCTGCGTGGGCTCCTCCTTGGACACAACAGTTGCTGGCTTCATAAAGGAAATGTCTGGGCTGCTGCTGCCGGCAGATGTTGTATAAGAGATGCTGGAGACATCTGAACTGCTATCTTCTGAAGCAGAGTGAAAGTTGGCTTTCAGAGCAGGGTTAGGATTGGATGCAGAGAAACAGAACTCGGGGACAGTCACGGTATAGTAGGTGGGGCGTCGCCGGGGTAGTGCACTTCTTCCACGGGACTCCAAACTTTCCCGAGTTGAACATACCCTGTGGGCCAGAATAAACTAGTTAAAACTACAAATGTAGCAATAGAAACAGCACTTAAGACTTATATACGACTTCATAGTGCATTAAAACCCTCTCTAAGCGCTTTACAGAGTCAGCATTTGTCCCCCAGAAATCTGGGTCCTCATTTTACCGACCTCGGAAAGATGGAAGGCTGAGTGAACCTTGAGCCGTTCAGAATTGAACTCCTGGACTGAGCAGTGAGTTAGCCTGCAGGACTGCATTCTAACCACTGTGTCACCACGGCTCTTTTGTTTGATCCTGGGAAAAAGTGGGAACATGACACTATCTTCTCAAAATCTTAAGTAGCTAAACACAAAAACTCTTAAAATGTAGAGTTCAGAACTTCCATACATTTCATTCTGTCTACAGTGCATTCTACTTATGACTGGCCTTTCCTAATGTATCTCATTTCATGCCTATGCCATGAATGTTCATTTAAATCAGGGATGCCCAAACATGACAACTTTAAGACTTAGAGACTTCAACCCCCAGAATTTCCCAGCCAGCAGTTGTGGGAGTTGAACTCCACAGGTTTTAAAGTTGCCATGCTTGGACACCCATGTTCTAAGAAAATATTTAAGGCTATATTTTTGACTTCTTTAGTGGATAACCTACTTTTTTATTTTATACCCATTTATATGGAACTATGAATAGGGTCAAGCAGCAGGCATACTTATATTCAGTTTCACCTTTCTTTCGCAACTCTCATTTCAGGGCAATATGCCATCTACAGTTCTCTCCATCCCAATCAAAATTGCAATTTGAGTCAAATTTCCCCTTCCCCCAATGTCCATATATTTCTTTATTTTAATTATTTTATTTTGCTTATAATAGATGTTCTGTTGGCCTCCTCCTTCTAGCTGACACTATTCGCTAAAAACTAATCTCTCATGCAAAGCTACTTTCAGAGGCATTAAAGACTAGAAACATTTTAAAAATGAGAGCTAAGATTCTCAAGGCTCTGTATTTTGGGACATACCTAAAGGTCTGCATCATATGAATTTAATTTATTCTGGCTGCAATACACATTTAAAGTGCCTGCTTGTTGTCAAAATCCATTGTTGGGTTAGGCAAGTTAATCATAGAAACATAGAAAACTGACAGCAGAAAAAGACCTAGTGGCCCATTGAGTCTGCCCTTTGGGTTTGTTTGTTTATATTTTTGTTAATTTTTGTCAGATGATGGACATACGTTTATCACAAGCAAGTTTAAACTGCATGTTTAAAGCTTGTTGAACCATACGAATGCTTTAATATATGGTACCTAAAGCTTTGAAATACCTTATCAGCTGAGACTGTCCTCTCCTTCCCGTGAATTCTGGGGTTGGAGGGGCACTGAAACCAGCCTGTCTTCTTACTTCCAGCTTCCTAGGAGGATCCAAGTGACACAGATGTGTCTCAACTGCCCTCTGAAGGGAAGGGCTGGGTGCCGGTGGGGACATTATACTTGCTGTGCTATAACAGGAAACAATGAGATAAAAAGTAAGAAACAGTTTTTCTGTCCACTTCCCAGTTATCATTATTTTTCTACAAGCAAACTGAGAGCCACTGGTTAAGGGCTATAAAAGTAGTTCTTTCCCATTCTTTCTGAAACAGAACAGAAGTCTGAAGATTGATGGGTATCAATAAAACAACTGTTCAGGTTTAGCTAACTCTGATATTCTGGGTCAATGCTCCTCAAAGAGCATTTTGATCCCAAATGTAGTCATAAGTCAAGGACTACTTGCATATGGGGTTGCCTTGGCCTTTGGGCAGAGACCAGATGCTTCAATCAGTACCAGACCAGGACAGAGTATCCACTGGAGTTCCATCCCATATTATATGCATATGATACCAGGGCTGCCAGCTAGATTCAAGGTGCTGGTGTGAATATATATAGCTTCAAGCTCCTTGGCACCAGGCTACCTGAAACAAGGCTTCAAGTACAGGTAGTCCTTGACTCACGGCCACAATTGAGCCCATAATTTCTGTTGCTAAGTGAGACATTTGTTAAGTGAATTTTGCCTCATTTTATGACTTTTCTTGCCACAGTTGTTAAGTGAATCACTGAGTTGTTAAGTTAGTTGTTAAGTGAATTGGGCTTTCCCATTGACTTTGCTTGCCAGAAGGGACTCTACATCCTTCATAAATCGGAGCTAGTTGCCAAGTGTCCAAATTTTGATCACATTACCATGGGGATCCTGCAATGGCCGTCATAAGTCACTTTTTTCAGTGCCATCGTAACTTTGAATGGTCATTAAATGAACTGTTGTAAATCAAGGACTACCTGTACATCAGCTTTCCAGGCATCTACAGTACAATCTTTTGGGAAGACAGGAATTTGCTGTTTGAAATTGACATGGAAGAGGGCCTTATCCATGATGGCACCTGTCTTGTGAAACAATCTTCTTCCCTGTAATATGCCAATTCATGCTGGCATCTTTTAAGTGTCTTTTTCAAAATTAAAATTTTATGTTGGCATTATCCAGCTATTAACTTCCTTCATATCTGTCTTGTAATATTCTTGTAATGGATTCGTCTTGTAAAGAAGGACGGACACTAAAGGGACAGGACACGACCAGTAAATACTTTAGATGTTGTCTCCAATTTTCCATCTACCTGAATTGCAGGAGCAGGAAAAAAGTTTCAGGTAATGCTCTTACCACGGCATTACCACAAAATATAAATTAGGGTTGTTGTTTTTAAAATAGCTATACTATTGTCACTAACTGTCTATGGAGATTCTCAGTCATCCAGGTCATGGTTGTCTCAAAGGTGCTTTTTCAAAAGACCACTGGACTTTGTTTTTCCTTGAAGATGTTTCGCTTCTCATCCAAGAAGCTTCTTCTGAGCTGAGAAGGAAAAACAAAGTCCAGTTGCCTTTTGAAAAAGCACCTTTGGGATATTGCCACTGACAGAATCAGAGGGTCAAAATGAATCAAACTTTTCCCTAAATCCATTTCCTATTGCAAATCAAAATAATCTGACTACCAATTTACTATGCTAATTCATAATTTCATCTGTAGGCACATCTTAAAAGTAAGTGATAGTTGCAAAAAATTAGCCATCATAAACATTTGACTTCTATCACTGTGATCAATATTATTAATCAGTGTAATTAATAATACAAGATATTAATAATACACCCAGGGTACAAAATATACTGATGGCACTTTTCTTATCTGTTCAATAAACGATGTAACAAGGTAGACTAGTGCAATTTTAATATAGTGGGGAAAGAAGGATAATGTTAAGAATCCATGAATAAGCTGAGATTCTAACCAGAAAGTTCAATTCAACTTGCCTGTCATCAATCATTGCAAATACACTTTGCAAGTTATTGTATTGCTTCTCTATAAATTACGATTTACATATATTCACCTCAACTTGAAATCAAATAGAGACATCTTAACAAAGAGAAAAGCACAGTAGAAAGATCTAGGGAACAAGTTTGACCTCAGCATGTTGTTGGTCTCAAACGACTTCTTGGGCTTCTCATAGGGCTTATCCAAACTAGTTTCTTTCCAAGGGCTATTCTGGATGGGAGAAGACTCCACTTCAGCAGCTGGATGGTGAGTTGAATCTTCTAGAAAGCCAAGGGGGGAAAGTTGCGATGAAGAACTGTGGTGAGACTGGATTTGGGTCCAATGTGTATTTTTTGTTGGAAGGTGAGGATTCACCACTGGGACTTCTTTAAAAAGAAAGGAGGATGATAGGTTGTCACCACAAACTTGAAAGTCCTTTAAACATTTGCTAAACTACCTTGTACAACTACACTCCCTTACTAGCCCTTAATTAAATCAAAGGAGGACATTAAATTTGGACCATTTCACTGAGAACCATAATAAATATCCTTCCTTGCCTTCAAGCTTGGTACAGTGTTTGCAGGCTAATCTCTTTACTTGAATATGAAGTCATTAAATAAAAACAACAGCAGTAAAATATGGAATACATGGAGACTATGGTAAAGGAGGAATGTGGTTACTCCATGACCAAGATGGGCACTTAAACTATGGGCTGCTGAAACATAACTTATTAAATAAGCCATTATTTGTTGAGCCAAAAGCAAATATTAAATTTAATGAAAGTACAAATTTCTGGTAGCTTCTCAGACCTCAAGTTGTGACCTTCAGAATGTTTTGAGGGATTATTTGCTGTGCATTTTTTTAAAAAACGTGACTAAAATAGCTACCTGAATGTTTATTTACTAACCCTCTGCAAGGCAAAACTTCTATTCTTGAACCCCCCCCCCCTTCCTCCCTGGGCATCATAACTCTAGGATGAAAAATTATTATTTTAAAAAACGCAACTTCACCATCCCAGAGGAAAAAAATATTGTCTTTTTGTGTATGTGCGATGAGCTATGGAAACAGCCTTCCCTCTGGACCACTATTTGACTTGGGGGGGGAGTATATTTATGTAAAATAACGAAGCATAGGTATGAATGTTATTACATTACCATGAAAAAATGATGTCACAAAATGTGTTCAAAGATACCGAAGTATAGAAAATCAGTAAATGATCAACTTGAAATGTTTTATGAAAGAAGCTGCATGTTCAAGGCCATTCTTATCATGAAAAAGAAGGCCCTAAGAATAACTTCAGGTCTGCATGCAAAGGGAACATCCCAAATAAAGCCATTAGGATCATACATAATTAACTTGCCTTCTTCTCTCACAGTCGCATCCAAGAAGGAACGTTCGTCAGAGGCACCGAACCCTTAAGATGAAATGGAGAAAGTTGCTGTAAATGGGAACTGCAAAGCATTTTGCTATTCAGGATTCTAGCTATTGGATTTCATTCACTCTTTCCACTTATTTCCCATGTTTCCCCCCCCCCAGCCAACATTCTGAGGCCACTGAGCATAAACACCCCTCACTACGTAATTAAAAGTGAGAATTCTCTTTGGTTTTTTTCTTCTCAAAGATTCTGTCAATTTCAGCAGTGCTTTTTGAGTTACTCATGGCATCAGAGAAAACATCAAAAATTGGGCTTCCTTTGAGCTATAGATTTCCAAGCAACTATCAGGAACACTGACAACTCATTAGAAATATGCAGTCATAAATTCCTCGCAGACCCACAGAAGGAACAACAAAAGCTTCTATCTTATTAGTATTGGGCTAACTCCAATAACCCAAACCACATCATTCAAGGCAAAGCCTCCTGAAAGAAACAGTCCATGGTACAGCGAATTAATACTAATCTAAAGGATTTGGATTTGTATTTCAGGCAGCATTTTTCCATACAGTCAAAATATTAAATTAGGAATTAATAGCTCAAAATTCCTTTTACTCTTTAGATGTAGTGTGGATGAGACAGGAGGGCAATAATCCAGTTCAGAGAGAAATGTCCTTAAGATGATTCATTTCAAAGAGCTTCACTCTGAAACAACAGGTAGATGCTAATAACCACTAGTTTCCTTTTATGGTCCAGCCAAGGTGGACTCTGAAGAGATGATCTCATTCAGTCAACAAGATCTCTGCACAATCTACACAAAGTATTGTCCTTCTATTAAACAAAGAGTCCTTTTGTATATAGGTTCAAACCTGATCAACTCTAGATACTGCTGGGAAAGACCCCCGTTAGAAGCCCTGAGAGTTTCTAATAGTTGCATAGACAGTATTCAGTGTTCTTTTTTAAAAAAAATAAGCTGCCTTTTTATGTTCCAGATACCCTAAACAAATAGTACAAGATATAAATGAAAACACTAAGCTCTCATCTGCAAATATTTACCATATGGGATTCTTGGGCAAAAAGCAATGAAGTGGGTGTATAAGAAGCCATCCAGTTACCCCAGTGAAGTCTTTTTCAATATAGCTATTTTCATAGTAGTATATCTGAACTAGTAAATACTAAAGCCAACTACTGGGAGGGAAGAAAGGAATTAGCAAGGATTGAGCCTAATATTGAAGTCCAAAATATGTTCATTTTATGTGCAAGTACGTCTGACTGAGTTCAATACAGCTTACTTCTCATTTCAGTGTTCACAGGATTGCACTTTTTTTTTTTTGTAAAAATAACAGAATAAAAGAGTTGGAAGGGACCTTGATAGTCTTCTAGTCCAACTGTCTGTTCAAGTAGGAGACCCTATACCATTTTAGACAAATGACTTGTCCAATCTCTTCTTGAAAACCTCCAGTGATGGAACAAATTCTGAAGGCAAGCTGTTCCACTGATTAATTGTTCTCACTGTCAAGTAAGTGATAGGGACTAAAAAAGAATCAGTGAACCTTCTACTACCCAGGGCCTTGCAGGCATGTTTCCACTACAGTTTTCAGAATTCCTAGGGAATGTGTCTGTTAGCCATGTTTCTGGGAATTCTGTAGTCCCAGCACAGCTAGAGGAGGCAGCTTGGGAAGCTAAGCTAGGTGACTGATTAAGGGTTAAATCTGATACCACAAAGCTTTGTGTCAATCATTCAGGCAGGCTTCTACATGCTTCCTCCTCCAGCTGCCTCTCCCTGTTTTTTTTTTCTTGAGTTCTCTTTGGCAACCACTTACAGAAAATTTCCCTTGGTAGCTTATCACAGCAGGAAGAAGCCATAAAAGGTCAACTTCCTGCTTTGAACTGGGATGAATTCCACCCAAGCCGTGCCTGTCAAAAGTTCATTTAACCTGTTTCTTATGATTTACAGGGACAAGTACTTAATCCTAACCTCTGTCTCATTTCCTGACAATCTTTCTAATTTCAAAACCTACTTCCTCATAATAACAAAAAATCTTGTGGCAGCCTAAAGAGAAACAAATCTATTTTAACAAAAACTATTAGTCCTTAAAGTTTTGTGAGACTTGTGTCTGCCTCGACCCTCCTGGTGTTTAGGTCTTCAGTCAAAAGGGGCTTTAATTTTACTCTCTGTAGTGGCTATACAGAATAAACTGATTAGCCTGCCCTTGGTAGAGTGTATTATTATTATTACCATCATATCTTTAACTTTTCAGGCCTTCTTTTTGCAGACAAACAGGCTTGCTCGCCAAAATATGTACTTACAACTTTGCTTTCCAAGCCATCTAAGAAGTATTTCAAAGTCATTCAATCTAGCATTACAGAAGGGTGGCCCAACTGTAGGCTGCCCTTAATGGTCCCTAGGAAAAATAATGCAAAACAACCACAACTCTAACACACCAGGGCCAGGGATGGATTTGGTCGCGGGGTTACAGTTGTTTTATTTCCTTGAGGACTGTGCTAAGTTTATGCTTGGCTTTTATATACTTCATGCTTCAAAATGGTAGGAATTAAAAAATTCAGCGGTACAGCTGGATGGGGCTGCGGGAATTACAAAAATGAATTTCAGAGATTGTGCTGAATTAGATAACACCATGCTCCAGGTTGATTCCACTTACCTTCTAAGGCTGGAGCAATGGTCTTCAGCAGGGTGGACTGTTTGGATGCCAGGTGATATTCACTGAGCGCTTGCTCCAACTCCTTCAGTTTCTTTTCCTCTTTCAAAACAGCAGTTTTCCGGCGTTTTCGAACCTGCTTGGCAAGATTTTCTTCCTTGGAAAGACAACGAGCAGCTTCCGCAATCTGCAGCTGCAGAGCCAGATCTCTCTCTAATGTGCTCAGCGGATCCTGGAGAAAAGGAAGGGAGAATATATTCCAAAATCTGCCTTTTCTGAATGGTTCTTAGCAAGGGTGGTGTGACTGGCCTCTTAAAGAGAATAGAGGGGGATATAAAGTGTCAGAACTTAGAGTCACTCCTTGAAGAAGTCAGCACAGATCTGACATCATCACCCCATTCTCTGCTCCGAAGACTCCTTTTGTGGACATCTTGGTAATTAACTATGATACATCCCTTTTAGCTAGTTATGTTTTGAATGCTTTCTAGTGATGCACTTCGTCACTGTAAGCTGATCTGGGGGTTTCCATAGAAGCCAATGTCAGCTACGTTTTGTAAGGCTTGTGTAAGAAAAATTGGTCTGAATTAGGTCTGACACTGGTCAGGCAAGGAAATCTTTGCTGTGTGAGAGAAATAACAGTTGTTTCGATGATTATTTCAGGCTAGATGCTTTTGTCTGGGATGGGGAAAACAGATGAAAAGGAAAAAAGAAGGGAAATCAATGTTTTAACAACTTTCAAATGTGCATGTTCAGCATGCTACCTTGGAAGTTCTGGGAGTTGAAGTCACACATCTGAAAATTGCCAGTGTTGAGAATCCCTGTTCTAAAGCATAATGTATTGTTCCACATAGGAAAAAAAGTCTCTGGCACAAAAGGATTGTATGTTAGATTTGCTCGATGAATGATGTTTATGGCATGTTCCAGGCAACATGGTCATAAAAATCTGTGGAATGTAAGTAATAACAGTCCAAATGGCTCACAAACTAATAAAAGAACTCCCAATTAGATCCATGTTGGATCTGCTAGGCAACTGTAAAATAGCATCTTCCCTGTCTTCAGTTGCAGAAAAGATTCCAGAATTCCCGTGTATATACTATACGCATATGTGCGAATAAGTGTATACATATGCAGTGAGCATTTTAGTGTGAGAAAATCTACAGGTTGATGGAGACAACAAAATGAAGCTCCTTCAGGCATAGGAGTATATTAAAAAAAGGTAATTAATTGGATTTGGGCTGAAGTTAATTCTTCTGGAAATAGCATCTCCCTTCATGATCCAACTAGAACCTCAGGGCTTATTGCCCTTGAAAGTTTTTCATGATTCAAGTAATTATGCTGAGACTTAGTGTGCAAAATACACTATGTCTCAAATCAATTTTCCTAACAGTTATTTTCTTCTTATATTGAACATTCAATAAACAAGGAAAAACAAACAGGGAAAGGTCATGCTTGGCATAAAAAGCAGGCGATGGTACTATCATGTTGCTAGAGTTATGGAAAATGATGGGCCAAGACAATATTGCACAAGGTACCAGACACAACCCTCACTAAATGTAATCCTCCTGTCACTTTTTCAGCTAGAATAATTAAACACCAATCACAAAGAATGATTTTCAGCTCTTTCGGGGCATGCTTACAAGCAGTATAGGGATGCTAATCCAATTTAAAGATTTAGATGGTGATTATTTTGGATTTAAGTAATCTACAGTTAAAAGGGTGTGCTCTTTTGTCTATTCTACTGGACTGATGTCTAAGGCAAAATTCCCAGCCTCCTGCTGAACTAGCAAACCGGATGAATTAAAACTATTTACAGACTAAGCAGATATGTTCTGCTTCCAGTATAACAGGTTCCTAATAGTTGAGGAGGAAACACAAAGTAGTATGCAATATTTCATTGAGCTGGAGGTTAAGAGGGAAAAAGATTGGAATAGTGTGTGAATGTACAAGTGCATGTCTGTGACTCTGCGTGTGAGACAAAGAGAAGCAATGGGCTTCCAAAAGAACAATTTTATTTAGCACCACACTCTCTGCCTCCCATTGAGGGGAACTTATAGAGAGAACAAACAGCACACCACATGCCATACTTATTTAGATTAGTAAAACTGAACGTAGGACACAGGCAGGAGAGACACTATTTGCAAAAGAGACACTGCATCCCACATGTTTGATAGGAAGGAAATCCGAGGCTTCCAGATCCCTTTGGGATGATTTATTTACCATTCACTTTCTACTGGGAACCACTTTCAGACACTTTTTTAAAATTGGGAATCCACAATTTGTAAAAATCCCATGCAATCTTTTTCCACAGAGAAAAAGGTTTCCTGGATTGGCTGAACTAGGTTTCAAAGGGAGACTAAGCTTTATGCATAAAAGAAACCATGCCTCTATAAAAGTTGGCTACTAGGTATCTTTCATTTGGAATCTGAAGTTATTCCTGTCTTTTTTTTATTTACCCACTTACTCCTACTGGAGCGGGAAAGTTGGAAATGCTGTATATTGGATTTTGACTGACTGTGTTGGGATCCTTCTACACTGAAGCACCTAAGTCTATGAAAAGAATAGCAGGTACAAAATGATCAAGGTGTACAAAGCAGCTAACTAGGAGGAAAAATGTCTTTTCTCAGCCTCAGTGCTACTTTTATATAATTGAAGAGCTTTTTCTTGCTTTATGGCTGAACCTATAGAAATGTTTAAGTTTCAGAACATTGGCCCGATCTTTGCTGAGATGGCCCGATAAAGGTTAAGAAGTAACAGGAGGTCCTTACACAGCAGGGTTAAGAAAATAGAGATGCCAGACTTGTACTCAGCCAAGATCACCAGCATTGCAAAGCTGCTCTTCTTCCACCCTATTCTAAACAGCCTTAGCAGCAGAAGTTCCCATGACTACTGCTATGAACTACAAGAGCAAGCAAAATTAGATGCTGATCTGGTAATCCTGTTCAGGGACCTTTGGAGGCCAGAATATCAAGCAGGGATTCCCAGAACCTCTTTCCTAATCAAACTAATTGTGTCCATGACTGAATTGCAATTCACTTGTTGTTGTTGTTTTCCCTCCTGGAATCCATTTATATTTACATGCTGATTCAGGCAACACAACCTTCTGGGTAACTCAAATGTTTGTGCTCATCCACGTTCTCTCAACCCCAAAATGTTGTGAGCAAGGTGCCTTACTGCTCCTGAAAGAATAGCCTTTTGGTCCAGTTTGAAAGCAGCACCAATTCGACGGCGGACCTTCGGGGGCTTTTCTCCTGGTTTCAGAGGATATTCTGAAGACAGCATTCCTGTCAATTCCTGCCCAGAAAAAAAACATAGAAGCAGCACAAGTCAAGGAAGGCCTTAAGGTTAGGCAATGTAAAGCAGCTGAACTGAGTAACATGAAAGAGCAGCATATTTGTCATTAACTGATTTATTAATATATTTCTCCTGCCAGATAGGAGGGGAAATATTTTTGTGATTTTTCTGCTTCTGGTGCCACAACAATTTAATAGGCCTTGGGCACTGCATACCTTGACCTGGAAACAGAATGCTATTTGCTCTGCTGCCTGAAGTAGCAATTTAGCCAAGATTGCTGCTAAAGCTGATTGCCAAAGGGGAACAGGCAATATCTAATCTATTTATTTAGCACAGCACCATAGTATATTTTATTTAACTTTTTTGAATTTGCATTCAGTAACGAGCCTGAAAATATCAATAAAAGGAGATAAATAAGTTCACGTTAATTTTAATGGGCTTGGTATGCAGTTAGCTTTTGGCTTTTTCTTATTTTCTAAATAGCCTTCAGTTAATTTCAGGCAGAGAGAACGACCAAAAATTGAATGCTTGGGGAAATACCCAGGATTGAATTCATTGCAAGATAATTTCTAAACTAATTATTTTTAAGGGACTTTTTATAAGTTGGTGATCAGTCAAACAAAGAAACAGGAAGACAGTCAATGAACTGATCCAAGGAAAGAACTAGATTCTAGAGACAATAGAATGTTCTGGAGGAAACTCCCAATAGGGAACTAATTGGAAACAAGTTTGATATTAACTTAGTAACTTTCTGTAGTTATGTTTACACATTGTCACAGAAGATAACAGTGGCTTGATGGGATGGATTTTATTTGGTAGAAATTTTCATATTCACATATCGACTAACTGCTGCACAATCAGGTTTATTAAGAAACTTGAAGGGAGACTCTTAATTGTAGATTTAATTAAAAGACTTGAGTTGCTTTACCAAGCTACTTCTTAAATGATGCATGAGCTTCTATCACAGACCAAGTGTTCGTGAGATCCATTTTACTCTTTCACTATCTTCACACTTAGCCTAGGTATCATTCAATCTCTATAGAAAGCCCTTCTCATTTCTTTGGACAGTGGAACCCCAACCCTTCCGGACATGCTTTCTTTCCTGCAGTAATGCACCTTACAAATCCCTAATATGGTTAACAATTCTACAATTCTTTTAGCTCCTTACAGCTTCACGCAGGCATAATATTTGTAGTTCCTGTAAACAGGCTTCCAGACGTTCCTCAAGGGCCTTTTGCTGCTTCCTCATGGCTTGTGTCAAATCCTTCATTGCAGCCATGGGGCTATCAAGTCCTGAAAGAATAAAAACAAAAAACAAGTACAGATTGATTTGTCAGAAAAGAAAGCTCGGATGGGATGGATTTTGATAATATTTGATCAGTCAGACAGAGATGGCCTTTGGCAGCTTCTTTAAGCACAGGCAGGGGTTGTAAATGCATCTCGAAAGACCAATAACATTGTTATCACAAAATTGTGTTTAACATCAAAAGAGCTTTTCTGAACCTCATCAGATAAGGCATGGAATGTGTCCAACAGCAAGGATTGAGTAGCTCCACTTCATAAACAATAGGCAGGTCAAGGTTGTTATAGACAAGATAAATACAAGGCCTAAGGCCAATATCCCTAAATGTTATGTTATTAGCAAAGAAAGCACATTTATGTATTGCACTGCCCATGGATTGAGGAAGAAATATCAGGCATTGATTTTTAAAGCCTACACAGAATTTCTTCCATGGGATCAAAGGTGCTTGGTCTGACTCCTTTCAAGCATATGATATCAGCCCATACAGGTTTTAATCAAACAGGGCACTGACAATCTGTTCCATGTACATGATTCATAACATAGGGCAGGGTAAGATTCTGTCAGCATGGTCTAAATTTAAGGGCACTGAAGAAAGAGCAGTTCTTATTCAGAGGTGCAAACTGTATATGGTAATAAGCTCCTGGGACCCAAAGGAATTTGCTGAGGAAGCAGAGGTTGTATGATGACTACCCTAATTTATTTACTTCAAAATCAATTTTCCAAGTGCACGTGGAACTAGCTTTTCTTTCCAAAATAAAAAATCCAGCTAGGTGTGCCACAACTGAGCTTTTTGCAGTCTCAAGAGCTTCCAAAGTAAAAAAAAAAAAAAAACTTCTTCATTATGCTTGTACTTCTTAATACTGCCTTTATTCAAGAGGCTAAAAGGAAAATCCAGGCTTGCACCCTGTCCAGACCACAACAGAAGATGTCTTGTTGGCAATTAGACTACATCTTCATTGGAATAATAATATACATCAGCTCTTTCTTACTGCTACCTTGTGTTATTAAGGATGCTATGGTAATTTGTGAGAGTGAGTAAACCATCCTGAGAAAAAGAAGAATTAGTGGGCCTGACTCTCTATAAATTCTTATACATATATTGCCTGTATGGAGAAAGGCTCTAAACCAGAGTTACATCAAAGGCTGGGCTTATGAATCTTGCCAGATTGTAAAATAGCCTGCTTTGTTTTGATTTAGTGGGATATGTACACTCAGCTCCTGTAATTTATTCAATAAAGTGTGATTAAAATAAACTATGAATCAGCGCACAGCACTGGATATGTACCACTTTCCTATCCAAGGAAGCATTTAATTGTATATGCGTTGCCTTAGCTGATGTGTGGTTAGATTATTATTTTTTTTGCTACGAAAGTATGTGGCTCAGAGCTTTTTAGCAATTCAACAAGTTTAGAAATAACTAAAGAAGTACAAGGCACCACACAACATTCATGCAAAAAGAATGCCACATATTTCATGCTTGGTTTCTAATAAAAATAGCTTCTCAAGAGTGCTAGGTCAGAAAAAGAAAGGATTAATTCTTCATATAACAGCTGGCCTGTATTTCAGGGCAACTGAAAAGCTTTGCAGTGGTAATAAGTTATACTGTAAGATGAGTGGCAAGCATCAGGCCAAAGAGAAGGCTCCACCCTGCCCTATCATTCCTCAAATCTGATACAACTGTTGTTGTCACCAGCTCCTGGCTCTGGTTCCTGTCCAAGATCAATTCCTATTTTGCAAGATTGCCCTTCATCGCTTCAATGTAAAAAGACTATATCTTGCGCAACATCAGTTACCCATCTGAGATAAAGCCATACTGATAAACTCTGACTGCTGGGCCAGCTATGACTAATAAGGTGTGGAATTCTGTGCACAACTGTATTTTGTGTCAATAGCAACATCAATAGAGTCTAGCCTAAGCAAACCTCGGTCTACAGCAAGCCACAGAAGAAAGACCCCAGCAGAGTATATATTGTTGCTTAAACTTGTTGACACAAGAAAGCATCCAGGAGATGTCTGCATTTTTCCAAGAAGAAACTTCCCCATTAGTCACTTACCGGACTGGATTATGATGCCACTGTCTGTATCGCTGGTCTCATCCTTATTCTTACTTTTCATGGCCAAACCCAGGTTGTGGAGAGAGACAGTATGATCACACCTGGAAAATGCTGTAATGTCTTCTGCTAATACAAAAAGGGCATGACTGAGATGCGCAAACACAAAGTGAGCAAGAACAATCCTAAAAGAAAGGGCTGGATGGGGGCCTTCCACTGACTGTGGAACTTGCTGTCACAACTTGGTTACCTAGAGGCCTCTATCTTGCAAAGTTTCTACTTAGGGCTCCTATGTGGACCCAAGGCCAATAATGTGCTGATAAATATTTAACATCTGGCTCCATTGTTGCTGCCAGGTGTTAAATATTTATCAGCAAACAGGGTCCTCACTAGGCATCAGGGCCGAGCTCTGCTTTCAACTGGCTCACAAAGTTTCCCAAAAAATCAACAATTGACTCCAATAAGCCAATATGAGCCAGCTTCAGCATACCACTGCCCAAGACTCACATTTCATTCCTGCTTCCCACCTTCCAAATTTTCTATTCAGTAAGGAGAAATCATTTGATTGCGACCATGTCTATGCAGATTCTCAATCATCCAGGATATGGATGTCCCAAAGGTATGTTTCCAAAAGGCAACTGGACTTTCTTGGTTTTCACTAGAAACCTAAACTATGTGGATTCTTTTTGCATGAATGCTGTATGATGCCTTATATGTCTTTAGTACAAAGAAAGGAAGTTTTCGAGGAAAAAAAAACAAGGAAGTCCAGTTACCTTTTGGAAAAGCATCTTTGAGATATTTGACTGGGACCATCACAGGTTGTGTTGCTGATACTATCAAATGTCAGATTGCCAAGGCTGTTCTATGCTAAATCATGTAAGGAAACTGAATTGTGTTTGATCTAGCACATAACCTCACAACAAAATAAAAAGGCTTTTGGACTTCTAATTATTGCTGAACTACAACTCCCACAGGCCATTAGAACTTATTAGAATGAATGAGGCTGCTAGCAGCTTATATTTAAAAACATCTGGAGGGCTACCGCCTTAACATAAACAGAAGTTGCTTTCTGTAAACCTGTTAAACGTGGAGGAATATAAAAGGCATAATCATTAATCTCAGATGTAAATTTAAATAATCCAATTCACATGGAATACAAATTTAAATTACCTTGTCACTAAGATTGCATAGAACCTTAACTAGAATTAACAGTAATAATTTAACATTGTATAGTGATACTATACATACAGTAATTCAGTATTATCATCCAAAAACTGTAGGAAGAGGAAGGCTAACATAGATGCCTCTAAGTTAGTTCAGAACAGAGCGAGAATCAAATCAGGACATTCTGATATATAACCCAAGTCTCCTGGCCTTTAGGTTCCACTCACTGTTAATAGCTAAGCCAAACTAGAAAACACATTTCCAATCTGGAGAAAATTGTGGGGAAAAAGACAACGAGAGAGGGAGAGAAAAAAGAGACAGAGAGATGGAAGGAGGGAGGGAAAAGAGAGAGAAAGAAACTTGTTGGAGAGAGAATTCTTATCTCCCTTATATGTTCTCTCTAATTTTGTGATGATGCCATATGCCCAAACATTTCACTGCTGCTCCCCCCCCCAGCAAAAAGTAAATCTATAGAAGCTACGCCATAAGGTTAGCAGGAAGTGCTAAGCAAACAAACTCCAGCATTGGAAGAAGTGACCATGAAACTTCAGTGCAGATGCCCAGATGGGCCATTCAAAACTGGAGTATTATATGGTAGGGATTATTTTTTATTGCTTTCCCAGCAGCCAGGGTGACTCCAAGCCTTCCTCTTTGCAACCACACTTGTTTGCACAGCACTTCCCCACCCCTACTGGATGAGTCAATCTGAAAGTCACTCTGAGTTTCTGTCTGGAGCTTATCACAGGACTGCCAGTCTCCTGAGGAAAAAAAATAACAGGAGGTGGAAGGACAAGGTTCACAGCTGTTACTGAGCTGTATGACCTAAGGTGATGTTGCTTAGACCTGTACAGATTATTGCTCACTCCAAACAGGCATAGGAGGCTGTGTGGGCAGCAGCCTGTTCCACTGCCTCCCATAACAAACAATCCCATTCATAAATTGAAATAGGCAACCACGCAGCCATAGTACACCTTCCCCAGAACAATATAATTCCCACAATTATAATGTGTATCAGGCTTTCTGTTTTGGATCAGACATTAACATCCTTTATATGAGTAAAAGTTAAATTACTCTTAAATTAAAGTACAAACTGATCATGCTTCTGCTCTTACGATCAGTAAATAAAAGAATCAGCTCAATGGTTCAATTAATGGTACTTTCAAGAGTGCTCGCTTCCTGGATCTGATAACTTGTCACAAGAAAACATTTCTCAGTTGTTTCCAAATTACCAGCCTGCAATCCATCTACTAGTAGTTCAATTTTGCCCTGTCTGCTGTAGGCTGCACTACTCCAGTTTGCCTATCTGTCTTTTTACCTGATAGCTATCTAACAAATTAGCAAGTCCATGGCAAAAGCCATTGTAGTTTTGGAACCTTGTCCCAATGAGAAAATATACAAGTTTAAGATTTATGGAGAGTTCAATGCTCTCTCATATAAAAAACTATGCGCAGAAGCCTTCCTCAAACTGGCAGGCAGCATAGCAATTTTGGTACTTGCAGTTCCAGCATTTCAGGCTGGAGACTACTATTATGTAGACCCATAGGTAAAGATCCTGTTTTATTTAGTGTACATCTTTTAGGATCTTGCAGATTGCAACATCCAGAAAAACATTCTTTTTGACCATCATACAACCCTTTTCCCTCTACACACCAAAGTAAAAACATTATATACGAAAAATTCATCATAGAGAGACAGCAAATCTGTATGAGAACTACATAACTAGTGAATGGATGTCCATGCTTTACAATGTACAATCAAACGTCTCAGAATTCATATAACATCTTTCTTAAGGTCTTTATATAATGCTGTGAATTTAGCCAGGAGCTTTCAGATTTAAGAGCAGCCTGTTCTTATCGAGATTCAATTTACACTAGCACAAAGATGTGACAAGTGTACAGACCAACCAATCACAGCTAAATTTTAAGCAGTAAGTTATGTCTTGGCCATTTACCAGTATGTAAAACAGCACATATTGACTATGATCCTGATTCATGCAAACAGAAATACAGTGCAGAAAATTTAAGAACTATACAGCAGGAATGCTGTTTCTGGAGAACTTGTCTTCATATTTATCAAGTCAATTTGGAACTAGCTGCTTAGTTAAAGAAGATCCTACTACTTCAATAGAATGAGAAACAGATTAGGGAGAAAGATTTAACTTAACTATTTTTATTACAGTTTTCCCTTTCAGTGTCTCCCTCAAAACTATAGGATATCCCATGTCTGTCTTTCCAGTTTTCAAATTTGAACACCCAGACCCTCAACTCTATTTAGTAAAAGGGTCTTTTTGGTTTTTCAGAACATTTCATAATAAGCACACATTGCAAGAATGAGATATGTAAGAAATACCTTAGATCAGACCTTTATCCCAGTTGGATGATATTATTAATAATGTAAAGTTCTCTCCCCCAGTCTGAGAACCCTCTAAATTTATATCTGTAAATTTCTCAGTAGTAAGTATGATATCTAGGAATTTTGGACATTGAGATCTATAGTTTTGGAGGGAGTCCAAGTTGAAGAGAGATTTTAATGTGCTAGCAATGACTTTCCAGATTTTTAGCCTTTCTGGAAATGCCAAAAACTAAACCAGGACTTTTTTAAAAGCAAAAGAGGCATTCTACCAAATATAGTAGATGAAAGGCAAACTTGAATGAAGGACAAAATGTGGTCAGATATTAAGAGGTAGAATAAATTGCAAGATCAACAGAAGGAGAAGAATAATCTCAGTATATTTTCTGAGACGGGATAAATAAGCCTTATCATTCTGTCCCTTCAAGGCACATACCACACACATTATGAAGTGTAACCAAACTAAGAAGCATTTTAGAAAAGACTTAATCTAGAGCCAATTTTAGCTTTTTAGGGGTAAAGATATTAAATAAGATGAAGGCACATTTTTCAATTTGATTATGAAGCTAAGAAATGGATGCATGTATGCTTTTTAGTTCTAAGATACAGTATACTTGTGCCATACAGCTACAAGCTTTCAATAATTTAAAATAAAAACACAAGTAGAATCCATACATGCCTAAGCATAACAATAGAAATCATTCCATTCAAAGTGTAGTTTTAAAATAGCCTTTTTCAAAACAGTGCAAACCAGAGCTAAGCCCCTTCTTCACCACACCGGAGCAGGAAGAATGATTTCTATATACCACTTGCCACTCCCCTTCTCTAAACCTGCTGCTTGGCAATAGATATAAAAGATATACACTTTGCCCTATGTGGCAGGAAAGAAAAAAAAGCTAAACCTTGCTAACTTAATTAATTGAAAACTTTAATGATTAGCTGGGCTTGCTAATCAAAACCACAACTTGCAACAGACCCTCAAAAGCTGCTTTTGGATGATGAATTTTACATTCTGGTTGAGCCGTATTGAGAACGTTGTATTTTTGCACCTTCAAGCAACTGAACTTGAACCCACAAGTAGACAAACAAAACTTGTCTCCATATTAAGATATAGATGCAACTTTTGTAGATCAATGAAAATAACCTAATAACAGAAGATGACTTCTACTAAATGGGCACAGCATCCATCCTGGCCAAAAAAAATCAACCAGCCCACTCTAATCTTCTAAATATTTAATCAGACAAAGACTTCAAATAAATATAATATTTTCTATTTATTTTCTCTCTGTGTGCCTATATTCCAAAGCAAACATTGTTTGCCATTTATTTACAAAAGTTGTACCCATACTTGATTATTTCTCTTGATAATCTTCGTGTTAAAACGTATATACAGACAATATACACAAAACAAAGAGATCTACCTGACTTAAAACACTAAACAACTAGGGTTTCACAAAGTCCTTAGGGAAGTTATTCCGTTTGATTACAAAACTAAGCAGAGACGCTATGAAGTTTATGTAAGTACATTTCCTCCACCACCCTTCCTTGCCCTTCTGCCTTTCAATGCCCCACTCTTACCCAAATATTCCTTGCCTTTACTCTATTTTTAGTTC